AATGTCACAATGCCATAAGCATAAGTACTTGTGCACTATTTCTACTTAAAGAAATCAAGATAAAAAATGAATTTTATAAGACATATGATAAATTTTTATTTCATACAATGGATGAATAAATATTAAATATGTATTAAATAAGAAGAAAAAATGTTATATAAAAAATTTTACTTGCTTTATTCCATAAAATAACTTCCCACTTTAGTCGCCTATAAAATGTAGCACAGCAACAAATTGCTGCGAGCTGCTAAATTTACGTATTAATTTTTTTTTTATCTAATTAATATTAATACAATTCTATTGAATTATTTAATTATTCATAATAACAATTTCTCTTATGAATAATTATATGTTATAATATTTTATACATTGCATTAAATAGGATACACCTTGTTGATTAAAGTGTGTATTTAATTTTGGAAATATTTTGTGAGTTTTATGATTTTTATGCGTCTATTTTGTTTTATAAAGTTATATTTAATAGAGATCTGTATAAGAACTCGTTTCACTTATCATACGTATGTTGTATGCCTCTTTGTTTGACCTTTTACGATATAAATGTAAAGCTTTGTTGGCAAGAAATTTAAATACTACAAGATTTCATTTGACTATAAAATTAATTTAATAATTAGGCAATTCATTCGAATAAAAAATATCCTTTCGCTGCTTTAATACCAAATATTGAAGAATGTTATTACGAATGATGATATATGAACTTATTTTTTCTAATTTTATATATGAATTTTTTGATAAATTTTTTGAAAATTTATGTAACAACAGAACATAATGTAAAAATAAATATTAATACTTGGTTGCAATTACTATAATTAAATAAACTAGAAAGTTTGCAATTTTTTATTTCCTAACATAAAAATGTGTGATGCTAAAGTGTTTTCATTGTCAATAGGCGAATAATTAATAGCTGAAATTTATGGACAAATTTTAAAAACTATTTAACATTCCGTTAGCATTTATTATACTTAGTAAAAACTATTATTAGTTCAAGACATTTCGATATTCATGACCATTTTTTTTTTTTTTTTTTTTTTTTTTTTTTTTTTTTTTTTTTTTTTTTTTTTTTTACACTTATTGTACAATACATTTATAATTTGATTATATGGTAAAGGAAAAGTGAATTCCTTTATTATGTTTGAAGTATTCTTTTTTACGATTAATATCTGCTCTGCTCAACAACAAGAAATTTGTGTTTTCAAGAATACTGGCATTAAACTAAATCATTAAAATATTTATGAATAAACATTTTTCATTCGAATAATGTACATTATCGATTGAATTCTTCTTCATCGTTATGAATGCTTGCGAAAATGAAATAAATAAGAAGTAGAATAAGATATATAATAATAATTAATTAGTTATAGGCTGATTGATGGTACATAAGTGTTACATGCATCATTCATATGAAACAATTTAAAATATAAATAAAAGATTATAAAATAAAATTAAAAAATTAGAAATTGTATTCTTATAAATTTTTCTCCGTCACTTATATTCAAGGACACGAAGAATTCATCTTGTATATTTTTCCATATAAAATATTCAAGAAAAAAAAAGTCTGTGTAACAATAAAATTAATTGGTCTTCGTGAAACTGCTAATGCATGAAATTTTTATTGACGATTGTTTACTTAATATTATTTCGCATATATTTTCTACGTAAAGTCAATCGATTGTGCTAATTCTTATGCCCACGTCTTCTCATCGATCATAAACACTTTTCTGAATGTTTATTTATTCAGCCAATACGATCTCTTTTTTTTTTTTTTCATTGGCTAGAAGCAAAGGTGATTAGCAAGAACTGTTGGAACTACGAGCGTCGCGTCTAAATACATTACATCGACTTTATTAAGAAGCCTTAAACTATTACAAATGCAGAAGCTTTATTTGAGCGCAAGTCGATTATAAAGTAGCGGCGAAACTTGCAGTCGTTGTTATCTTGGTCGTCCTTTCCTATCATTTATTCGACTAAAGTTTATGATCAGAGAAAGTATTTGCCAAGTGCTAAGCATACACGTACAACGAGCACATTTGCTCTTGTCCATTTATAAAATAAATTTCCCCGCTATTAATAGTCAAAAAAGCTTCAAAATATTTCCTTAATCTTCAACACTAATATCAATTTTATGACCATTACAACATTATGTATTACTTAACATTAATATTCATATTTTTATGAACGCTCAACAAAGCCTTTAATAATTCGTGGCAATAATAAACTGCACTATAAGCTAAGAATATTGAAAATAAAAATTCTGCCAATAAAAAAACTTTGAGTTTGCAATGTTCTTGTAACATTGGAACGTTGATTATAGTTAACAACGGGTTATGAATGTATTTTAGATGAAATATATTTTCGAAATAATAAATTGCCCGTTTTTATCGAATTCAATCGAAAATATTTTTTTTTAAATATTTTATTTTTCTTTTTTAATTATCTCGTCGATAAAAATTGAAGAAAAAAAAATATTTAACTGGAATAAAAC